CTGGTATAAATCTGCGTTTTACATGATTGTTGAATGAAATTAACATAATTATTAATTTATTGTAAAAACATGACAGATAATCTGTGAAACAGATTCAGTTCAGCTGCTGTTCATCTATTAGTTTCAATGGAGGCTGTGAGCTGTTGTCCTGTTCTGCTCCTCCATGCTGTCACAGATGTTATCAGTGTATACGGTATGGGCAGGACCCAGTCTAGTGATCTTTATATTTAAGTCTATGGGCTTTTCTCATAATTCGGCTAAAAACAAAAACAAAAAAACAGCCGTCGACCAATAGACAAGGGCAAACTTAGCTGCTAATTGAGGTGGTAACTAAAGCTGTCTGCTTCACAGTAATATGCTTTATGTTTAATATTTATATTGACGTCATATTGATCAGTAAATTCTGTCTAAGGACCTGTCAGTGCATGAAGGTTATAGGTTTGTATGTCAACCATTTTTTGTTGAGAAAGTTTTCTTTATTCAAAAAAGTTAGTGTCTAATAAAGTAGGTGAGCAGCAATTGTCTTAATTTTGTCCCTCATACAAACCGAGGTCACTCAAAAATCTATCGGCACATAAAGATATTACTGTAAAAATATCCATGTCAGGCGTAAATGTAAAGTTTCCTCACATTTCGCCCTCCTGCAGTCCTCCCTGATGATGTCTTTGACAGCCATGAGCAGATCTTTGTCCTGAGCGGTCACCTGGTGAGGAGCGACAGCRTCAAACGTGCGACCGTCATCACGCTATCAGCTGAGGAGGGAGCAGTTCTTACATTGTAAACTTCATCCTGGGATTTCACCTTTCGGTAAACCACGCCCTCGTCCTGCAGGATCTGCAGGACCTCCGTCAGGAGCTGGCGCAGCTGCTGGCATGCAGTCGGACCCGCTGCAGCCTCCTAAACAACAGAGGAGCAAAACGTTTTTAAAAATCGTTTCAACTTTTTTAAAAAGCTTTTAAGCTTTTTAAAAACAGAGGCGACCTCAGCTCCACTGAGCTCAGTTAGAACTGCGAAAACTCCTCGGACAAGGAGCAAAATGTCTTCAAAAACTAAGAGGAGACGACTTGTCATCTTTAAAAACCCTAAATCCTGGGTGACTGAGAGCCGACACACYGGCAGTCAGGTTTTATGTCTTTAAAACAGGTTTGTCACTTCAGCAGCTGCAGGGTTTAATCTGGTTTCATCCACAGATACAGTTGGGTATCATCAACATACGATGTTATACATGTACAGCAGAGATTCTTAACCCATGGGCCTCAAAAGATCAACAGTTTTTAACTTTGGGCCGCAGAGGGCCGTGCAACTGCATTGATTTTGAATAAGGTGCAATACACTTTCTCACCACTAGTAGCTGTAGTGCACCACTCAGATGTTTAACAACTTTTTTTTAAATATGTAGAAGAAGAACCTTAGAAACCTTCCAAGAATGGAAACTTATTTTATACGAAAAGTAGAAGCAAAAATGAAAATAACTCGTCAAAAAACACCAAAGTTTGTCACTAATATGAAGTGCAGCTTCTGTTTTTACCATGTAATATTTTAAAAGTTCAAAAC